AAATAAGGTTTTTTGTTTTTAAACGTTTGATGTTTAAATTTTTTAAAGTTTTTCTGTTGATTTTTAGCATTAATGGACATGATTGTCATGTTTCGTTAAGTATGGTAAGTAAATATAACGCTCGACCATGAAAAACCACAGAAATAGAATGATTCCACTAAACATTGTTTCATAAGTAAATCTATGTTGGCAGAGTAAATAGTCAAAGATTTGTCACTATTATTCCACTAATGTAAAACTAGTTAAGAATCATTATTTATTATTTTGTTTTCGATAAATTTTTCATTATCGTATTCTTAATGATAATGAGTACAATCTATTTTTTTTTGAGTGCTTTATATAATTTGAAAATATTGTTGCAATATGATGTCTTTTGATTAAGATGAATGTATAGTTGATATGTCGATCGAGGTAATATGTCTATGGAAAAACGAAAAAAGATCTCTTGTAAATGTTTAAATACATTCATATAATCTGTTACAATCAGTGATCTATGACAAATTACTTCAAGATTATTTTTATTCCAGTTTATGTAGAAAAAGTCTCGTAACTTATTTTGCATTATTGTCACAATAGAATTTTTGATTTTGACGCTCGGTCAGTTGAAATGTTAGAAAGCTGGGCTTGGTGTTAAAATGTAGGGAAAAAAATCAGCTCTACAACTTAATAAAGTTGAACTTTTCGATTTTCCTTTTGATGTTTACTGAAGACTAACCGTTTTAGATTTACATTCTCTGTTTTTTTTTTCATACTTTATGAGAGGCACTTTCGAGAAACACAAGTTAGGACAAAAATAGATCTCGTTAAGCTGTAGCGTCATTCTTGGCTTTCCTAAAAACAACCCGAAATTTCTAGCATTTAAAATCGCGAAGAAATTGGGGATGGATGTACACTCATAGTTAGACCAATAATCAGTTTTAGAATAAATGAATGGCGTTCTGTGAGAAGAAAAATTTAATAAGTGATCTTATTTTCGAAACATCAGGTTTGCATCAATCTCTTAATTAGCTTGCTGGATAAATTATTTGTGTGTTCCTATTACATCAATACAAGTCGAATGCGTGTTTTTTCAGTGAACTTTTAATGAATTCAGATCGTTCAAATTTTTCATCAGCTTATAGTTTCATTTTAACATCTTTGAAAAGCAATAAGACATTAATTCAAATGTTAATAAATACTTTTTGCATGTAAACAAGTTTTAGTTTAGAGTTTGGCTTATAAAAGTTGATTTTTTTTACTGCCTTGCGGAACTGGATGAAAAAGAGTAATTGATTTTACGGCTTTGACTTTGTTAATGAAGCTGCAGTAATCGCATCATTTTATTTAATACAGAATTGTTTTTATTATGTTTTTATGCATAAAAACTAGGAATAGGATATCATGTCCTGAAAAACTTGTGGTTCATGTTCTTAACCCTTGCCGTACCGGCCGGGGTCATTTCTGACCCCAACCTGAAAAATATACAAATATGCTAAAAATATTGTTTTTTTCTCAGCTTCTTTAAGCTATTAGCATCGCTTAAGAGTAGAGGTGTGGGTTTGGGTGTGGGTGTGGGTTTGGGTGTGAGTGTGGGTGTGGGTGTGCGTGTTGGTTTGGGTGTGGGTGTGGGTGTGAATCTTGTCTTTAACAGGGACCCACACCCACACCCACACCCACACCTACACCCAGACCCACACCCACACCCAGACCCACACCCACACCCGCACCCACACCCCACACTCGCACCCCAAATATATATTGTCAATATAGTACTTAAAATAGGCCGGTACGGCAAGGGTTAATAAAACTAAACAAAAAACAAAAAATGGCAAAAACAACTTGAGTAGACCAACTCTGAATGTAACATATCTTATCCATTGATTTTGCACAACAAGCAGCTACCAAGAATGTTATAAGACAATGATTGATAACACTAGAATAAAGTTCAAAAGGAAATTGTTGATGTAGAACATTTTCTAACTTATTTTGCTATTTTGAGATAGGTTCTACGTATTTTTGAATAGATATTTTGATTATACTTTCATAAGAGTGCCATGATAGATCATCATCCATTTCGCAGAGAACCAGAACTGAAGTATTAGTCCACAAGTTAGCCTATCTACTGTATAGTGTTTTACAAGTTTCAAGTAAATAAAATATTTGTTTCGTAAGAGTTCGAGTTGTTTAAAAGAAATAGCCTTTTTTTCCTAATCTTTCCGTAAGATTTTAAGACTTAATTGCAAAGTTACTATCTGAAAAGTGAAGCATTCGTTCTGATGAATACTCTAGAAAAATTATTCGAACTAATAAATTGCTATCATAGCAAAAATATAGATTAAGATACTTGCATTCCGTTGTTCTTTCAGAATATTGAACAGAATACTCATATGACTACTAAAAATACGAGACAACAGAGAAAAATCTTAGACTTTAATCCTATTAAGCTTTTCTAGACTTACGAACGAACATATCTGACTGTCTGACACCGTTCGACTTTATATTTTGACTATGAAATAAAGACTCAGTTAAACTATAGAAAATACTAGCAGGCTTCAGGTTCATGCATTACCCAGCCATAGATATAAAAATGTTAGTGGTTTTCTGCTCTGGATCCGTTATTCACGAAATTTTTACCTGTCACTTTGTCCACAGATAGATCCGGCGGTCACTAATATATCATAAAAATTTTAGCTCAAGCGAATATATTTATTTGGGTACGGTGTCTAAAACGATTCAATCCTATCGCTTACCTTTTGATATGTAAGCATTCATCGAATGCTCGATATCTCAAGAAGAATACATTATGTGGAGCTGAAATTTTTAGGATATTCTAATGGCTATGAGACCTATTTTTAGACCCAGTGTCAAATGAAAGTCTCGTAATTGGGTTTTTCATGAATAACTAATTCAGAGGTCAAAAGCTCATTAAAACGGTCATACCTATGACTCGGTAATACATGTGAATCCGAACCTATTTACAGTTTTCTTAGTTTCATTGAATCCTACCTCGTCGCTAAAATATGAAGCCGGACGAAGTCCTGCAGGTGAATATATTCTCTTATTAGTAAATTATCAGTTCATTAATAAGTTGACAGTAAAATGTTTCGAAACATTCACTACATTTCATACCAATTTATTCTGAATCATTAAATAGAAAAACCAAAAAGAGTTACAGATATGCATGCACTAATTTCTTATTAATCAACGCAAAACTCGGTTGTGACTATGTAAGTTTCTTATTCTCAAAACATATAATCGCTAAATATGTTGCAGGAAAAATAGTTATCATAAATCAAAATCTAAAAAAAGAACGTAGATTCTACATTCTCATTAAGTTGCGAAGATTTTTCATTGTTGTAATTGTCGACTGAAATAAGTGTTAAAGTCGAATACAATGAATTGTGCTATAGAAAACTCTACATGAGAGCATGATTTTCAATATATTTCAATCTCTAGAATATCTTTGTAAGATTTCAATCGAAAACAAAACGGCTATTATAACTATTGTTTTTTTGCTTTCAAATAATATACAAAATTGAATATATATGCTATCTTATATTCTATTTTGTTGATATCTACTATTGATTTCAATCAATATTGTTCTCTTTTCATAATCGTGACTATCATCAAGATATACAACATAATGCTTGATGATGGTATCCACATTCACCTAAATATGATCGTAATGATAAATCATACGATCTGTATATTAGAAAAACACGATAAGAATACGTAATAGTTCAAAAAAAAAAAGAAGATGACTATTAATAATAATGAAAATGAATTATATCAAGAGAAACACATACATAAGTGCTATTATTGAATGATGAAATGATATAAAAGCTTATTTAATTAACACTCATTCACTTTACTAAGTGGAAACATCTTCTTTTTCTATCATACTATCATCATTGAAGAGTAATAAAGTGCAATCGAAAATAAAACTAAATTAGTCGAACTTTTTGACAAAAATTTATTATTAGCAATCGGTTGAATGTTTGAGAAATATTTAGATAGATTATCAAACATTTTAATCATGGAATATATAGAAATAATTTTATTTTATTTCATCTAGTAGCATTAGTTAATTTTTAAAATAAATATCTTGCTTTTCGAGTAATATAGAATATTTTTCTCGAAGATCAAATAACTACATATTCTCAAACCTATTTTTGATTTATTGATATAGTTAAGCACTTGCTGTTTTTTTCTCATATAATCGATAAAAAACCTATTGAGCTATGAATATAGTTATTTGAGCCAGAAAGAGCTCTCGTTTTTTTTTGTGTTCATATATTCTTATTGAAAATTGCTTCTTTTTCTTTGTCAGACGTCAATAAAAGCTCGTCGTGCGTACGACTAATTAAAAAAAACTTTGCCACCGTTCGTCTGTTTCTTGTTCCATAATAATCGTTGTATATGTCTTCTCTCACAGCACTATCGTCTTCCATCTCTTCTCCTCATATGCTTGCGTATTCCGTTTCTCTTTCTCCGGAAAGAGAACATGCCATACATATATATATATATATATATATATATACATTAAGAGAAATCTCTCTGTGCAAATGAACACATCTTGCTAGAACAAGAGAAGAGTCAAGAAGGGATTATAGAAGAGAAAGGGGGAGAAACAGAGAAATCATTCTCTCTGTTGTTATATATGTATTGCTTCTTCTGCCAAAAATCAAAGTAAATGAAATCACTATAGTTTTCATTCGTACAATAATAGGAGTAGCATTTTTACAAGAATATGAAGTAAGTTTAATGTCAATATATCATGATTTTTTTTTTTGCTTGCTCTTTATGCTTTCTCTCTTTCAATCTCTTGTGTTATACAAATAATAGCACTCATACAAACACCACCACATGTACACATACACAAACAGGCGCACATTTGTTCAAATTTCATATATAACATCTTAAATTGACGTCAGCAATAAGAAAGGATACAACATGTGTTCATTTTGTTTGATTTTAGAATGTAAAAATTTCAATAAAATCAAACAAAACGAATAAAACGAATGTTTTTAACAAAATTAATATATCTTCTATTATTTTTATCATCATTATGTACAGCAAATCGTTGGTATCGAATGTTTTATTCAAATCATGATGATCCATGTGTTGATCGTCATAATCGTCATCAACGATGTATACCCGATTTTATAAATGCAGCTTTTCGTAAAACAATCTATGCATCATCAATATGTGGTAATCCTATAAGAGAATATTGTTCAAATAAAAATATATGTCATATATGTGATTCATCGCAAATAAATACAAGTTATCCAGTTGAGTATTTAACTGATATTAATAATCCAAATAACTTAACATGTTGGCAATCTGATTTTATTAAACCAGGAGAAAATATATCATTGATATTATCATTAAATAAAAAATTTGAATTAACTTATATTAGTTTACAATTTTGTTCTGATACTAGACCAGATTCTATGGCTATTTTCAAGAGTATGGATATGGTAGGAAAAAAAATATTCTGCTATACATTTCTTTTTATTTCTTTTTTTGTTTTTTGAAAAAAAAAGGGTTTATCATGGATACCATTGCAATATTATTCAAACCATTGTGAAGAAGTTTTCAATAAAAGTTCACATGGAATAATAACACACTCAAATGAACAAGAAGCTTTATGTATTGATACTAAATTACAATTATCATCCTCAATGAGTGAATCACGTATTGCATTTAGTACACTTGAAGGTCGTCCATCAGCTTATGAATTCGATACAAGTCCAGTCTTACAAGACTGGGTTACAGCAACCGATATTAAAATAGTTTTATTATCAACAAACACAGATAAAAATTATTATTCTATAGCTGATTTTGCTGTTGGTGGACGATGTAAATGTAATGGACATGCATCAAAATGTATTACAAATAGGTATGACATATATATATATCATCCTTGTAGAACATTTTTTTTTTTTTTGATAAGAAATATCTAAAACATTTTTATTTCGTTAGATAGATCAAATTTCTTTCTTTCCTTTTCTTATTATTAAATCAATTGACCATGAATATTGGAAATAGAATTGATAAATATGTATTGGAAAGATGAGATGATTGACACAATGCATAAGAGAAGAAAGTGATCGAGAACGAGAGAAACACACAAAAAAAAACATATTTAATTAAACATGTCTAGGAAGTATGAATACAGCTCTTTTTTCCTTTTTTTATGATCTAGTATTTATTGATGATTGATATATATATAAGCTGTAAAAATGAATCATACATTATATTTTGTACTCTATTGGGTTCATCCGAATGCACTACATATGTATGTGTGAGACGAAATGTGATAAAAGAATGATGGTGCATCAAATCGATCATCTCTTCTACATAACGTTTACTCAAATAAATGAGATTTGTTCATCATCGCAAGTATACATAGACAAATGTCACATATGTATAGAAAGATAGAAGTTCAGGCTTGTGGTCTTATTTGTTTAGGTTACTAGAGCAAACAAGCATATCCACTAGAGCTATGATATCGTTATATTAGTAAATGTCCTTGGAATGCCAACTATCAGTCTGAAATAGATATAGAACATCTCAATGTTCGTTCTATGATGATGTAACATTGGACAAGTGTCAATTGAATATTCAATGAGAAAAAGAATTGAAAAAGGTGTATGATGATGATGATGATTGATCGATGCAATAGTCATTTATGTATTTCTCTTTTGCTTCTTTTTTTTTGTTGTTGTTTGCTTCATAAATGATCAATCAAGATCAATTGTTTCTATTGTTAACGATTTTGTTACTCACTAGGGAATAAAACTGAAAAACGGAAGTTGACAAACTAATATACAGATATATACATGAGAACTGTTGAATGATGATGCTGTTGTTTTTTTTTAATGATAAGTCATCACATAGCAATACACTTGAAAAATCAGAAGCATGTTTCATATTGATCATATTTCCTTTTCACATACATCACTTGAAATTTGTTTTCATATACGTTTTGATTCCATTCTTTTGACCCATATACATATATGTTAAAGTGCTTGAGAGCATTGATTACATGCATCTATGACGCCATCAATGATCCTTAAGATATGCTCTTATTAATTATTATTTGTTTTGCTTTTATTTTCCTAGTGATGGTCGTTTAGTATGTGATTGTAAACATAATACAGCAGGTGATGAATGTGAAAGATGCAAAGATTTTCATTATGATCGACCATGGGCTCGTGCAACACCGCGTGATGCAAACGAATGTATCGGTAAGATGTAGTTTTGTTTCGTAAGATTTACAAAATTACACATATGCGCTTGATTATGTATACCACTAAATATATAAGATCATGTGTTCTATGCTCTAACACGTCGTTCAACGAGAAAAAAAGGTTTAAGAACACACACGCACATGCCAAATGTTAATGCTAATATGTAATTGCAATAATCATTCAATAAAAGTGTTATTGTTATATGAAATTTTAACATGATACAACTCATTGATCATGTTATTATTCTTAAGAAAATTTTACACATAGTTCGATATAATCAATGACTAATATAAATGTTTATCAAAATAGTATAAACAAATCATAGATACAAAAAGTGTACATGAATAAACACACAATTGTTTGTTTACATATTTGACATGAAAATGCAGAGAAACTGAAAATTTTGCTTTTTTTATGTATTTTTACGTGTTCGTTCATAGATTTAAAATGCTTCGTATAATTTTAGCATGTAACTGTAATAATCATTCGCGACAATGTCGTTTCAATAAAGAACTTTATCTTCTATCTGGTCGTAAATCAGGTGGAATATGTATGCAATGCAAACATAATACAGTTGGTCGCTATTGTAGTTATTGCAAAGAAACATTTTATCAAGATCCAAATTTACCAATAACACATCCAGAAATTTGTAAAGGTATGAATGAAAACAAAAAAAGCAACATAAATAATTCAACGTATGAATCTATTTAAATTCTTCACCAATCTCTTTGTTTTAAATATTCTCGTCATTCTTTGGATTTCTTTTTTCTGTTTTCACTCTGTTTTTCCAATCTGTCTTTGTATATGCATATACATGCTTAACTTTATCTGTAGTAACCTTGCATGTAAATATATTAGTTATGTTAGAAATATATTAGTTATGTTAGCCTTGTTTTATATTACGCCTTATTACATGTGCTCATTAGGGGTAGAATGATAGCTTATTCTTTCTTTTCTCCCTATTGTTTGGATTTCCATGATGAGGTATGAGATATGTATATGTAGTATATATATTTGTCAATGAACGGATGCGTATAGAATATATGTCTATAGAAAGGAAATTATTGATGGCCTTTTCAGGATGATATCAAAAGGAAACACCGATCATTCTGTCAAGGTTAAGTGGAAATTCATTCTTTCTGGTGCCTAGATTAACCGTGAAGAGCAAAGATAATTGTTAAAAAAGTATTATGTCGGCTAGTTCTTAATTCAATCTGTAGCCATAAACAAAAAATATATAAATTATTTGTGTTATGATGTATTTATTCTACGTGTGTTATAATAAGACAAATAAACATAGTCATTTGTCTGCACAATCTATTAATATAAAATTTGCAATAAACTAGATTGTAACTAATGTTTTTGCCAGATACATACACAAACCTTGATTTGCTTGTCAATGCTTAATAAATTCTTTTTTTTTTATTCATTCAGAATGTAATTGTCATCCGGTGGGTTCACGTGGTAAAGTTTGTAATCAAACAACAGGACAATGTCTATGTAAAGATGGTGTTACTGGTTTAAGATGTGATCGATGTATGAAAGGTTATCAACAAACCAAATCACCTGTTGCTCCATGCATTAGTAAGTTTAACAATACAGAAAAAAAAAGTTTTTCTTTAACAAATAAAAAAAAATTTTTTCTCTTAGAAACATATGATTTTCAATTACCAACATTATATAATGTCTATCATCGACAAGATAACACAGATGATTATCATGAACAAGATGTTGATATTTATAATAATCCTACAACCACATCAACAATAGTTCATCAAAAACTTGTAGAATATAATCCATCCATCGATTTAGAACAATATTGTGGTGCATGTCGTTATTATAGTCATCGCTTACATTTTAAAAAATATTGTAAACGAGATTATAGTAAGTTGAAGAAAAAAAAAACTAGAATCATTGAAATTCATAATTTATTATTTATTTCTATCTTTTTTTAAAGCTATTCATGCACGTGTAACGAATCGACATGATGCTGGTCAATGGGTATCATATTTATTAACAATTATACGTGTTTATAAAGATCGTCTTAATCGTATACAAGAGAGTGAACAATGGATATGGGTATCACGTAAAGATGTTCAATGTTCATGTCCACATTTAAAACTTGATCGACAATATTTATTAATGGGTTTCTATGATCAAATGCAAACATCTTTAAGTCTTGACCGTACATCCGTTGTTATTCAATGGAGACCACGTATGGAACAACGTATGAATCGTTTTAGAAAATTAGAATTAAATAAAAAATGTTAAGTCAAAAACAAAAACAGCAAGAAAAAGATTCATGTCATTCCATAAAGAACAAGAACCTGAAGAAAAAAAAAAAGACAAACATTTTTCTTTTGTATAGTGTCGTGTGTTTTGTGTGTTGTCCTTATTGTTGTGTGATTTGTTTTATTTGTTAACTGTACCAGTAATCTTAGCATTACAATATAAATTTATTTCATATTAATCTATATTTTTTTTTTGTTTATGACGAATAGGCCGAAATTTTTGAGATAAAATATTTGTTTATTTAAGACTTTGTTGAAAGTGTTTGCAAGGCGTCAAAAGCTATGAACTAGGACCATCATATTGTGTATTTTTCCAATACGGACTTAGTAATTTCATTTGTTTTTGTTCGAGAATAATGAAGCATTTTTGAAAGACGAAGTTTTCTGATGTAAACATTTACTCATTTTGTTCTGTTTGAAAGCACATCAGAAAAATGAAAGGCTATGGATGATGATCAGAACTTTGTGTTTTTTTTTGAATAATGAATTAGAAATGTTGGGTCTATTTTTGTTTGAGATTAGTAAAGAGATTTTTTTTAAAGGCCTCAAGAAAAGGTTAGATTGAATCATGAACCAATAGGCTATTGTTATTATCTCTAAACTCTTTTTCGAAAATTCTAAAACTTATTGCAGTTGATTGTTTTGTTCGGTGAACACTTTTTGATAAAATTTTCCATTGATCTAAGTGAAACTATCTGCACTTTATCAAAAGCTTCTTTCTCTACAAAAATATCTTTTGATTAAAAAGGCGAATTTTCAAAAATGAGAATATTCAAGTGACCTATAGAAAAATTCCAACAGTGCATTTTATAGGAAAGAAAAATTTTTTGTCTCAATTATCTTTTGGAATTTGTTAAAAGTTTCTTTCATTGATCTACACTTGAAAAGAGCATAAAATTCTGATCATAAGTCATAACTTTTCACTTTTCAGAAACATTTTCAACGGAGCAAAACATAAACAAATATTTTATGTAGGAACATTCGGTCCATCTGTTATGATCAAATTCTCATTAGACAGATGGAGAATTTTGTTTTGTTGTTTTGTTTCATTCAATTAGGCAAGACTTGGTTTGTTTTATGGTAGACAAGGATGATTGATACTTATAGTTATAAACAACTGATGAATTGATTTTGAATAGTCATTTTTTTTATGTACTAATGATCATTGAATGATGCCGTCGGATGGATAGATCATGCTCCGTTAAAGATAGAAGAAAAAGAAGAAAGACAACCAAATGTATTAATAATGACACATTAACGCAATTAATTGAAAATGGAAGTTGAATAAATGACGTTATAGCTAAAACATAAACTGTTTTTTTGGTATTTGTCCTTGATTTCGTCAATACATGTTGACTGATATTGTTAACAGAGTTTTCTTTTTTTTATTATATTCTTAGATAAGAATAGACCAATATGAATATTTCCTTAGAAACTAACTAAGGCTTGTCAATAAATCATTTATAGTATATATTTTTTCCATACCATTTGACGTATCAGAGAATAGTCTACTGGAAAAGTCAATGATAAAAAACCTACGGATGCTATATATAGAGAAGGACAATATGATATGTACGTAAATTCATATTTTTATACTTATGAATTTCATGTAGATTTTATAAAATATTTCTATTCAATTAAACAGTGATTAGAGTTATATTTACTTGAATATATCGTATCATATGAATCTAAAAATATTTAGTGTTTATTATCTATGTACACGACTTTTTTATCAGTTGGAAAAAGGTTACATACATGGAATTACATATATATAGCTACAGTTCATATTCTTCCCAGAATTGATTTGAGTGTTTGTTTTTTCTTAATAAGATTTTAAATGATTTCTAAGATAAAATGCCTGTGAAAAGGTAGCAAATCGTTCAAACAATTATCCATATATCAACCAGGTGCTATTCAATTGATAAAACAATAAATTCGACGGTTGATACTGAAGATAAAATAATACTATTGAAGTATATGCACTTATAAAACTCATGCAGTCATATAAATTCAGGCATTTAATGACAAAAATTGTATGTTATTTAATTTAAATCATGCAAATATTTTATTTGAACGATTATATAAAATTATGCATGATACAATTTGTTTTCTTAACTATAAACAAAGCAGGTTGAAATTGAAAAATGTAATAGTCATTACGGTTGAGCAATAGATAATACACACATCAAAGTTAGCTATTTAGTTTAGAATAATTTTTTTAAAACTTTATGTATCATAGTAAGTCCATATGTGCATAAAGAAACTGTAAATTCAATATAAGATGATTCATCAGGTTTAACAAGGCTATAAAAAAAATCAATCAAAATTACAGTTTATTGATCATTTATATAGTGTAGTTCTTAGATGAAGACCTACTGTCTGATAGGCAAAGATCAGAACATTTGGATAACATACGTAGTCAGTATTAATAGTATTGTGATCTGTTATGAAACATAGACATTCTATTAGGCCTTAGTTACTACCACTGACTTGATGCCTATTCTAAAATAAAAAGTCAAGTCTTTTACATTATCAATTGAACAATAAATGAGCTTGTAATTTGTTTTACATGTAAAAACGAGTTATAATCATATAATCTACGTCATGAAATAAATTTGTTTCCAGTAATTTCATTTATTTCAGATTCTAATTATAGGGAGCTATTTGAACTCTTCATTAGGGTTGACAATAGCTCATCAAATTGAATGGCTCTAATCTTCCAGAAGAGATTTTTCTCACAGGTCGGGTCGATTTGGATTTCTGACGAGCTACACGGTACCAACCTCCTTTAGATATGTATAAAAGTAACGTCTTTTTCCAGTGCAATGATACTTCGTGTTGACAAGCAGATTCAAATGATGGGTTAATCGCTCTCAATGGTAAAAGTATTATCAAACTGGCACTATGATAACAATCAAACAAAACTGGAAGTATTACCTACTGATTGATCAGCAAATAATTTAATCATAGGAGATATTTTTTGTTGAATGATAATGTCCATGAAGCTGAAGTATCGATGCACACATGTTTTTTTTACGATTCAACAAGTAATTCGATTTGTCTCTCATGTTATATTTACTAGCATCATCGTAATCTAACCTTAACAAATTTGCAGTCAGCATGATGATTAATGAAATAGTCGTTGAGTTTTATCGTGTACAAAGTCTTTTTGTAAAACAAATATATTTATAACCTGTAACAGATCGGACAAGTCGATCCAGACTCTCATAGAGTGACAACTAGCTCAAACAGTCATAAGGAATTGTTCATTCTAAGTCGTGACCTTCATCGGTAGATATCGGTAGATATAGTGTAAATAGACATAAACAGCATTACTCTTTCTCATTCAGAACTGATTGTGCCTATCTACATCTACATATCCCTCATTAAAGTTGATGGCAAGAATGTATTCATTTGCTTTAAACGACAAAAATTTTTCAGGCGTTCAATCTGTTAATTATAGGTATTTTGGTACTCATATTGCACAATAAGAATTTATACCTTGTAATCATGTTCTGAAATCATCTTGTCAAAACATCTGATTTTTCTCAAGCGGACCAATCTGTTTCAAGCTAGAATGCCACTATTAAAAGTATATTTCTTTTACAAAAAAGGATTTCTACACGACTGAACTCCACAATAATTACAGTCATTGATCAGAATATTGTTGATAAATCGAATTACATATTGAACTGAAATACTAAGATGAGTTCGTTGGTACATCAACTTCTGAAAGACTATTACATATGAACATAAACTTTCATGAGGTAAAATGCTCGCTAATTAATTTCAAACAATTAAATCCGTTACTTATTTTTGCTACAAATTTAACATTGTTTCATTCTAGTAACACTCATGCCATTAAACCGAATAAATCCGTTGCTTTTATTTTTTAGCAAAATGAAACTGCCGAAAAATTCACATGACATAAGCTCTTGATTGTGATCATTGACGAGGTGCAAAACTCATTTAAGAAATTTCAACAAAAAATCTAAATACAATCTATTTATATTGTACTGTTTAATACTGATTGGAATTTGATATTGCAGCTTTAAAGATCGATTAAGATAGTTTTATCTATTGAAACTTTTTTTTTTACATGGAAAATCTACTTTGAAAGAAGAAATAAAGTTCAAGTCGGGTGGCTAGACAAAAGTTAAGACCTGTCTGATCGAGAGGAAAAATCTCTTTGGATCGAGTCGAGCAGTCCATTTCGAGTGTTGCTTGGTACCTAAGATCAAATAATTCGTAATTAAATTTTACGTTAAAATTTGTTTTCGTCTTTATCATGATTTTGATTCATAAAAACTAAATTCAAAACGTTGAATATCTATTATTAGTATCAATCTATTTGAAAACAACCATTTCATATCACTCGTTCATAATCTATTAGTAAATATGAAATTAAAAGAATCCATCCCATTGGAAATAACATTTAATGAGATACCAATTGATTAAGTGCAGAAAAAACACAGAACAACATAAGAAAATAGAATAATAACGAAGCAAAAAAAAAACCAAATATACTAAGATAAATATTATCGATTATTTTTTCTTTTCTCTAAAGTCTTTTTCTAAACACCGGATTTTATCACAAAATATGTTTTACAAAAAGTATTATCACTATACTAGTCATAAAACAAGCTAATGACGCAAGAGCATACATTTCTTTGTACATTAAAATACTACAAGTAAGAAGAAGAACAGCTAATGTACTCATTTTTGGTAATTGACGAAAGAATGGTTCACCTAAATAAAAAACAACACATTAACAAAACAAGAAATCAAGGCAATAATAAATGACAAACCATAACATTCATATCCACCATCTGTATTATTACATTTATAAAAAATACAAGGTGAAAGAAACAAATTTGAACGACATTCATCAATATCTAGAAAATAATAATCAATAAAAAGATTTATTTTTACTTATTCTCTACCTGAACATATCACTTGATCATTTTCATCTACTGATTTTGTATAACCACTTTGACAATTTGAACAATTTGTTCCACTATATTTTGTATTACATATACAACGACCATTACCTGATCTTGTGCCATCACCCTATAATAATATTAAATGATTGTTTTAATTAAAATAAAAACTAACAAGAAAATAAAACTTATTCTATTTTCTTACATTACAGTTTCCATTGCCTGAACACACAAGTTTATTATCACCATAATGACATCGTCGACAATTTTTACCAAATGTTCCTTCAGGACAACAAACTTTTGCTGTATCAATACACAACCATTCATAGAAATTATCAATTAAATCTGGGGAACTTGTTTGATACCATTCTTCAATTTGATCTTCATATTTTTCAAGAAAAGTACTGCACTATATAAACAAAGCACAAAAGACATTAATATGAAGAAAAAAATCAATTTAAATTGAGAAAACAATATATTTAAATCCGTATTTTTAAATAAATTAGTGAATTGAATGATTTATCAATAAATTACATTAAATGATCAATTAATGATGAATTTGATTTGCTAATAGATTTAAAGACCAGTAAATAAAGTATACAATATATAATGTCAAAGAGTAAGTTTAGGAAATTGAAAATGCATTATAATACGATTGACTTTTTGTTCTTCTTTTTATTTGCTTATACCGTGTAGTAAAGATGATGTCATAACATATATATTTGTACTCTGTATTTCTATCCTTTACTTCCAACTTCAGTTTAGAGTTCACAAGGTAAAAAAAGGTGGACGTGATACAAGTTGCTCAATATGAAAATGATATAGCAAATGAAGAGGTCATGAAAAAAAAATCAGGGCTAAATAAGCTTGGTCTTACATATGTCTAGTTGTGGACTTTAATGCAAAGCAAGTGTTTATCTATTATATCATGTGGACAGTGCAAAAAGTCACTGTCTCTATAAAGTTGAAGCTGAGCACGATGATCATATAGAGCGTATAATTGCTAGATGGAGTTGAATGCGAATGAAATAAAAATTCACTCAAACTCACATCCATATCCTATTTCATTCGAAAAGACTCCTTCTAAAATCAATATTTTTCATCTGTATAAAATGTATTATTTTACTGGTAATTATATGTAATAAACAGATTATTATGTAATCAAATACTGATCATTCGTATATTCTTTTTATTAATCAACTACATCATAGCCATAAACTTACTTGAGATTCCGTTTTTGAACATGAACTTTCCAGTATTTCGATTAGACGAGTTTCACTAAAAATCAAATTTAGAATTTTTCATTGATTTAATCCATTTAGAATTCATGTAACTAATTAAAAATGACTTAAGAATTGTTAGTCATAATATTCTTTCTTTCATTTAAAAACAAATTCTACTAAACTTCTCGAAATTTAATCCTGTCTGATCATTCATTACATTTGAGCGTCTGTATTGCTAAGCATATCGTTAGTGCAAGAAGCTTTACACTAGACTGTATAGACAGTTTCATCATCACGCTCATAATCCTTAGTTAAATAATGTAAGTTAACTGATCGATTCGTCAATAGACACATTCGACAATGTATGGCTGTCATTAGATATTCGTCATGAACTTCTGGTAGTTTGAAAGAAACTCAAAATAATCATCCTTCAAAAAACCTACGAAATGAACTTCAAGAAAATTGATGTACTATCAATAGTCTTTCTTGTTTTTCAGATATCTCTTGATAAGCTTTAGTAGAATCTCATTCTCTGATCTAAAGTATCCTATATCATCTGTTTTTATATTTGATGCAACAACACGTGTCAAATCTTTCAAGTAATGGATTATTTTTATGTAATCTATATGAGAGTGTTGAGTTCATCAGTTTGTAGCTCAATAAATAAAATTCCTACCGAGAAAATGATTGATGATCAACTTATTTACATAAAGAACGAATGAAATATTCATTGCTCAGTAATATTTTACGAAAAAACATTACATATGATGTTTCATTTAGGAGGCTTAATACAATTAATGACCGAGATGTAAAAATAACTAAACATCGGAACCTTCAAAAAGAAGTCGTGAAATAGCGAACAGCTTAAGAAGGTCATTTGTTTGAAGAGCTTTGTTTAAATAAACATTTTATTTGAGTTCTTCTTGTCTATATAGAATGAAACTAAACTTGGTTAATATTAGAATTGATTTATCGCATCAGTACGACCGAATTTTTTTCTTAATCCTATTCAATTTTTCGAGGATAATCGAGTAATACAATACCGAAAGCCAATAGAAAAAAGAAAATTATTTAACAATGTTCATTAAATTTTCGAATAGCTCGTAATCAATATAAATCCTTTGAAGTCACAAAATTTATTCTGATGAAATAGCATTAGAATTGCATTGATGCTATTGTCATAATTTCTTAGTAATTTATACCAATAGTCACATTGTTTTATTCTTCATTATCATATTACTAACTAAGAAACATGAAATATCTATAATCGATCAGAATCAAAATTTCAAAAGGAAAAAAAATCTCAATTCATCGATGAGGCTGTTTCCAAAAAACCTATCATTGAATAATTACCTTTTTGCATATCCTTTCAATTTTTTCTCTTCCCAATCTGTATTACCTCTAAACAAAAAATCGAACATAACAATTGTGAACAAAATTCCTTAACTTATATAATTCTTACCCTCCAAAATTACTTTTAGCTGTCTTTTTATAACCCTGTAATATTCACGAAGACAAATTGTTTTTCTTTCATATAATATTAAAAATTCAAAACATACTTCAACAAATTTCTCACTTATTGTTTTACATGTAACACATGGATCAGCATCAAATAAATTGCCTGGCATCATCATAGCTGAGCATGTTGAATGAAGTAAAATAACAAGAAGACATAAGAAAAATACTAATCGATTTGGTATATGAATAATAATTGGAAGAAATGACATTTTTATTTTTTTTATAAATTTGAGCAAAGACTGATTTTTTTATTAGTATTTTCTATCTGAAAGAAGAAAGAAAAAAAGAAAAAAAAAGAAAAAGTATTTTTTATAAGAACAGAAAACATATTAAAAAGAAATTAATGTCAAAATAAAGAATTCATTCATGTTTTTTTTGTTGTTGACGAATTCGATGATAAACAAATTCAAATTCATTTGAATATGCACTTTCATTACTGGATATTGAACAAACATTCTCTGTCTAAAATAGAATAGATAAAAAACAAATTTTATTTTTTCTTAGTTCTCGTTTTTATAAAATATACTTCATCAATTTTTTGTCGTTGTCGTGCAAGAATTTGTTCTAATTTTGTTTGTTCACGCATCCGTTCATCTTCACGTTTCTTTTCTTCATCACGTCGATGTTTAAAAACATTAAATAACTCAGGTTTTTTTGGTAACAATTGTCCCCTAAAAAATATCAAGAATTCTTTATATTAGAACACAAGAAAACATGAGAAATCTTAAAATTTACATTTTTTGCTTATAAATCAATTCTTTATGTAATTCTTTTTTAGAATTAGATTGTTGCTGTGTAAGATGAGGTTTTAATGGAATTAATTCATTTGATATTAAAGATGATGGTGTTGGTAAACGATAATAATAATGTTCAGTTGCATCATCCGATAAATATGTTGGAATATATGGTGGAGTATGATCTTCATATTTCGATGCAGCGTTGTTATCTGTATTAGTTTGAATTGAATCATAACATATTTGATCATAAACATTCGTTTGACTACTCATCCAACTTTGATGACCTGATGATATTCCACCATCAGAAGAACCTAAAGTATAGAAAAAATTCATTGTTGTTCATGAAGTATTATGTTATATATATATTTATACTTGAATGACTATTTGTATCTTTTGATGAAACAGATTCACTAGCAAATGCTTCATCATATGTTGAATAAACATGATCATCAACATGATTCTATAATAATTGAAGAATAAAATTAAATGAGTAAATAATTAAGAAATATTCCTTTTTCAATTCAAGATGTTCATGCGACCAAACATGCGTTTCTTTTTTTTTCTGATACACTTTCAAGCTTACCGCAAATCGACAGAGCAATAATGCTCGCTAAAAATAAGTTTAGAAATAAAATAGAAAAATCTGATATATTTTGTTTTTTTTTGTTTAGTTTCTTTTATTTTCAAGAAAATATCTAAATTATAATTATGTTTACCCAGCGTCGTAGACGATTAAACGGCATCGATTTTGTAGTGTATCCCAGATATACAATGAGTATATACTAATAGAGTTGACCTGTCCGCTTTACTTGAGCCTCTTTTTTTCCTATGTTCTCTTATTGTACACAATCAATAAGGTTAAAAAGGGAGACAAAAAAAGCTTTACTATTGACATACATAACAATCATCAGTATTGTTGTCATTCATGGATAGATTAATTGATAGTTTGAAACTTACTCGAACGAATTTTTTCACTCGAAACATAGGTAAACGTTTATTATTGTTGTAATTTACATATGCAGACAGACACCACAATAAGGATGAAAAAAAAGAAAAATTGTCAATCGACTGCAACCTACGATTACGTGATATACAGAAAAAAGTCTCTCGTTCTCTCATTGCGTTTCTCTTAGGTATTACATCATACATACTTTTCAACCTCTCGTGTGACAATTCACCACGAAAAAAAAGTTATTTCATAACATCTCTACATCGAGAGTAGGTTGGTTGAACGAACAAGACTTTTAATCCGGTTGCATGCACTCGACTACTTTTTTCAGTCTGTATAAAAGGAAAAGAAGCAAAAAAATAAGTATATGGACGTTATTACCACAAAAAGAACTATTTTCACGCATACACATGTTTACAAATTGGCGTCGTTCTTGACTAGTGAAAAATTATCCTTGATCAGATCAATTAAAATAACATTTTCACACACATATACTGTTTGATTTATGAATTTAAAAAAAGACATGAAAATAAATATGCTGATAAAAACTAATGAAAAAAAAACAACGTAAAAAATGATTTTATATAATAATGATTCATTTATCCACTGAATAGACATCACTATTATATATTTTTTTTTCTTCTATGTCGGTTATGCATGATTTGGTTTTCTTTTTTCTCCATGGCCATACATAATTTGGTTCGTCATTGATGCACATTTATACTTGAAAATAGACAGAGGTTTACTTAAGTTATTATATTCAACCTTCGCTATTCATTCTCGTTCTTTGTGTCTATATTGATACTTGCATTGTTCACGTTTATTGGATGTGAAAGCTTTCAACGTTTACAATAAATATGTTATTTAGTGGAGTGTATCATAGCTCATCAGAAGAGGTTCTTTCCGATGGTGAAACGACATCATCAATAACATCAGATGCTACATCAAGAACAACGACAAGCGATACTTGGTATGATGTTAAAAGTGATTTTGAACAACAACCAATAACACAGTTTGATCATACTACAGAGGCGAATATAAGAATGAAAACATTTGATGATCATGATGAAGATTTAATTAGGTCAATCAATGACATATATATCGATGGTGGTACTACCGAAGACATAGACAATATGAGAGCTACTGAAAATAATCTCCATGATATTCCTAATCAACATAACCAGAAACAAGACACACCAAAAGAGTGGGTGAATCCATATTGGGGTATTCATCGGTTACCGACAACGAAAGTAACAGGGCCACGAATTCAAGGAAACATAGAAAGTTCTAAAACTCACCGGTAAGAATATTTTAATTATTGATTATTTTTGTTTTTAACTTATATTTACAAGGATGCACTATTTGGTGTTTTTTTAATAGTGCGTCATCAAACACAACAATACAGCAACTCATACCTGGTTCTATTTTAATTAATGATAGAGACGAAATCGAAGACCCATTATGGAAACAGAGAAATTCAAGCGTTGAATCTTTAACATCTAGCAATTCATTTCATCCCGGTGGACAATATATATCAGATGAACGCGGTGGTCGAGGAGGTTTTCTTGCACCAACGCATGTTCAACATCACACTGCAACGATACCGTCTGATTTACCTGAAAATTCTACAGATAATTTTACTTATAAACAGTATAATTCATCGTCTGATGATAGTTCTCGCATGCAATCACCATTAAATCATGAGCAAACTTCATCAGAACCAGACATCTACGAAAATAAACAATGGGAAAATTCATATTGGTTAGCATCAAATGAACTAGATACTGAACTCACTACAGATACGACAACAAGCTCGACTCCTTCTCTTATTTCTGGCCTTCAACAGAAGGAGACTTTATTTCCAAAAGAGGAGTCAATTTCTCTTTTACAAAATACTGATTCAGAGCCACTATCAAGTTCAATTGAAATACCTTGGCCCCATACTAATTGGGAGACAAAACTCATTGGACATCCAACATCAGCAACAGATGAAACGCAATCAACAACATCATCGACCGGATCTTGGAAACATAACGAATCTCACACACCAACATTCGAAAACCAACAAGACGAAACATCGAGGCATTCAGCTACAGAAGATAGTGCATCGGACGACTTCATGTCTCCTGAACAAAACAATAGTTCCTCGGAACATCTCTCTTCGGACGATGAAAAATCCAACACCTCGGCACCTGCTAGGCAAGAAGACCTATCGAAGGATAATCCAAATTCGAGACACAATACATCTGAAGCAACAATATCCTCAAAACAATCAGATACACCGACAGCAACTGTCGATTGGAACCACTATCAATCTCATGCTACGACATCATCAAAACACCAAGACACACCCTGGGTGAATCCATATTGGAAAGATTATAAGCCTCACATTATTACTTCGTCAAAAGCACAAGATAAACCGTGGGTTAATCCGTATTGGAAGGACTATAAGTCTCATAGTGCTACGCCGTCCAACCAACAAGATAAACCATGGGTAAATCCTTATTGGAAAGACCAAAAGTCTCCAACTGTCATCCCGTCAAAACAACAACAGAAACCATGGGTGAATCCTTATTGGAAAGACTATACGCATCATATTCCTAGCATGTCGAAACAGCACGATAAACCATGGATCAATCCCTACTGGACAGACTATCAGTCTCGACCTGTCACACCGTCAAAACAACAAGATAAACTATGGGTCAATCCGTATTGGAAGGACTATAAGCCTCATACGACTACAACATCGCAGCAGCAAGAAAAACCATGGGTGAATCCTTATTGGAAAGACTATAAGCCTCGAACTACCATGCCGTCAAAACAACAAGAGAAACCCTGGGTCAATCCTTATTGGAAGGACTATAAGACTCACACCACTACGACGCCAAAACAACAAGCTAAACCATGGACCAATCCTTATTGGAAAGACTATAAGTCTCGAACTGTCAGGCCGCCAAAACAACAAGATAAACCATGGGTCAATCCGTATTGGAAGGACTATAAGCCTCGAACTGTCACGCCGTCAACACAACAAGATAAGCCTTGGGTAAATCCTTATTGGAAAGATTATAAGCCTCGAACCGTCACGCCGCCAAAACAACAAGATAAACCATGGGTCAATCCGTATTGGAAAGACTATAAGCCTCGAGCTGTCAGGCCACCAAAACAACAAGATAAACCATGGATCAATCCGTATTGGAAGGACTATAAGCCTCGAACTGTCACGCCGTCAAAACAACAAGATAAGCCTTGGGTCAATCCTTATTGGAAAGATTATAAGCCTCGAACTGTCACGCCGCCAAAACAACAAGATAAACCATGGGTCAATCCGTATTGGAAAGACTATAAGCCGCGAACTGTCACTCCGTCAAAACAACAAGATAAAGCATGGGTCAATCCGTATTGGAAGAACTATAAGCCTCGAACCGTCACGCCGTCAAAACAACAAGATAAATCATGGGTCAATCCTTATTGGAGAGACTATAAGCCGCGAACTGTCACTCCGTCAAAACAACAAGATAAAGCATGGGTCAATCCGTATTGGAAGAACTATAAGCCTCGAACTGTCACGCCGTCAAAACAACAAGATAAGCCTTGGGTAAATCCTTATTGGAAAGATTATAAGCCTCAAACTGTCACTCCGTCAAAACAACAAGATAAAGCATGGGTAAATCCTTATTGGAAAGACTATAAGCCTCGAGCTGTCACGCCGCCAAAACAACAAGATAAACCATGGGTCAATCCGTATTGGAAGGACTATAAGCCTCGAACTGTCACGCCGTCAAAACAACAAGATAAGCCTTGGGTAAATCCTTATTGGAAAGATTATAAGCCTCGAACTGTCACGCCGTCAAAACAACAAGATAAAGCATGGGTCAATCCGTATTGGAAGGACTATAAGCCTCGAACTGTCACGCCGTCAAAACAACAAGATAAAGCATGGGTTAATCCGTATTGGAAGGACTATAAGCCTCATACGGCTACGATATCGAAACAGCAAGATAAACCATGGATCAATCCTTATTGGAAAGACTACAAGTCAAGAAGTGTCACGGCGTCGAAACAACAAGAGAAGCCATGGGTTGATCCGATTCGAAAAGACTACAAGCCTCATACCGTCACGGGGTCGAAGGTGCAAGATAAACCATGGGTCAATTCACTCTGCAGCGACAATAAAACGCCAATGTCGACTTTGTCGAAGACGCAAGATATTCTATGGGTGAATCCCTATTGGAAAGATTGGAAGCCAGGAGGTTTGAATAGATCCCAACAATATCAGAATGTACCTTTCGCAAGCGGTAAGTGGCAAACTAGTGCATCACAAACTTCAACAACTACTAAGGAAAGAAGTTTGGAAGGAGCGAAACAACAGGATAAACCATGGGTTAATCCGTATTGGAAAGACTACAAGCCTGATACTATGAAGCCTTGGAAACCGCAAGATAAACCGTGGGTTAATCCATACTGGAACGATAATAAAACTCTAAGGTCGATTACTTTGCAGAAACAAGGTATACCATGGCAGAACCCCTATTGGAAAGATTGGAAGCCAGGCTCATTTAGTACTTCGCAACAGTACCGAAATGTGCGTTTCAAAAGTCCAAACCGGCATAGTGGTGCATCACCAAGTTCAGAAACTGGTGAACAACGGGATTTCAAAGAAGCAAAACTGAAAGATAAACCATGGGTGAATCCATACTGGGACAACAATAAAACGTCAACGTCGACTTTGTCGAAGAAACAAGATATACCATGGCAGAACCCCTATTGGAAAGATTGGAAGCCAGGGTATTTTAATAGATCCGAAGAGTACCAACATTTAGGTTCGAAGAATCCTCAGTCGCAAAATGATCGACCGCAAACGGCTGGAACTACTAAAGTTGAAAGTTTTGGAAAGACGAAAGAAAAGGATAAGGCGTGGGAGAATCCTTATTGGAAGCATGAGCATATATCAAGTACTGTACCAAGATGGGCATCGAGTGCATCAAAGAGAAGCAAATATGGCATCGAATTAACTAATGCATGGATAACGGACAATGTGTCGCCTCCTGATCATAGAGTTCCACCTATTCCATCATTTTATAAACGCATCTACCCTGTTAATATACCCCCAGCTTCAATTCCACTGTCGACAACGATTAACAAAAATAAATCACAACCTGATAAAGAACCGATGCATCTGGGGTCGAGCAGTATTCCAGATGAAATATACAACAACGGTGTAAAGAACGATGATGATTTTTCACCATATACAATTGATCGTCAAGGAATAGCGCACTACCAGTCACAACCGTCATCATCTTTTATGACCGAAAATAAAACAGTTCAGTTCGCTACTTCTCCATCAACTACTGAGAACCGAATGTCATCTACATATTCCACTAATACTATTCCAGTACAGGAAAAACATACCATGGCACCAAAATCATCTATGTCTAATGTTACAACACAATATCTAGCAATTAAAACAACTCCTTCGTCTACAACTAACTCTCGACTATTGGAACCTTTGAATTCTCTACATGCTTCATCATATTCACCAACCAATTATCCATCATCAACTCATTCTCGAGTACCTCTAATCACTCTAGACGAATTACATGATATTCAACATGCGCTTCGTTTATTGGAGATCAACCCAAATGCTATACCTACTATAGAAACATCTCAACAACATATAGCAACAGTTTATGCTAATGATGAAAAAGCTCCTCATCTACCGGTTAGATCTTTATTTACAAATAACGCTAATAAGCAATCTATACAACAACCATCATCATCATCATCCTATCCGCGAAATGAGCAATCCACTTTTTTGTCTAATACTAAATCTCAACAATCGCCAATAGCGTCTTCATCAAAGAATTCCTCAAATCCGAACGACATTTTCAATAGATTTATTCAACCAGGATCTTTCAATCATATTTAATAAAACTATTATTTTTTTTAAAATCGTTTCTTTTATCATTTTTTTATCATATTTTATTAAAGAAAACAAAATAAAATTTTTTCAAGGTTTTTTTGTCATTCTAAAACAAAATCCTCTCTAGAAGATTCTCAAAGAAGTGTGACAAATAAATATTTGTGTATTCAGCATGAAAATTATTTACTCGGATAGAAAGTCACTAGAGGAAAAAACACAGACTTTGAAACAATCTCACCTGTACAAATATTATTCTTCACAGTAGACTTGATCGTGAACACGATAATAAAATCAACATCAAGATGAACAAACTAGTTGTTTTGAGCATAAGTTCATCATTCAATAAGCAATAATATTCGTACACGTGTACTACAAATAGCAACTCAAACAACCAACCAAGACGTTTTGAATTTTTATTTGACAAACAGTAAAACGAATCGTTGGATGACTTCTCATTTTCTTCATTCAGGTGTAGGTATGGAGACACAAACCATTTATGGATATAGATGCCGTACTTGCTCGAATGTTATTTCATATATGATTTTTACGTTCGAAAGTTAAATTCGAATCAGAATCGTAAGGGAGCACTCTAGCTAGAGGTGAAATTTTGTGTAGCTGAATTTTAAAAGTACGGATAAGGGCGTCACACCTTTGTGCAGATGTTTAAGAAAAATTCAAAAAATACTAAAAGAACAAATTCTGATAATCACTTATATTACAATGAACACATATAAAGATAATTGAAAACGGTCAATCTAGGTTACCTACAGATAATGAATATACTTTCAGATGTTTCTTGTAATAGATTTCATCATATTCTCGACTCAATTATTAGGAATATTCAAATTAACTAAAGGAATAAAAATGATCATGTTTTTTTTCTGTTGATTAACATCAATAGTATCATAAACATTGAGATACGCATTTTGATGGAAAAATTCAATTTATGAACATACTAAACCTTATTTTAATAATTGATATTGATGATGAAATGAATTCAAATTTCTTTTTTAAGTTTTTGAATTTATCTTAATGTCGTAGAAAATAATTCAGTCTCATATAAAGTATAAAACGCTTAATAAATATGATATCTAATAAGATAGTTTCATGGATTACTATTGATTAAAGTAGATTTAACTTGACTCATGAACAAACAGGGTTGACTCATATTATGCCCTATACAAATGTCAATTTTGTAATTTCTTCATGTAATATGCAATTTAATAAAGGTTGACAATTACTTTTCTTTCCTTTTTTATAGTTTCATATTATGTAAGACATCGTGACAAAAGTAAACGTGTTAATAAACCTTTTCTTTCATGTTATTATAAGTAATAAAAATTGAACTATATGAAATTTTATCTTTCCATCACGCACTTTTCGTTATTTGATCTTGTTACATAAACACAAGATATTAAATCATCTTACTATAAAATTTTTAGCATAGAAACTGTTTCATCAACTTGAACATTTTGATTCATTTCTAAAAGTAATCAAAGTTTCTATTGTAGAATCTTTTTTATGTAAGTCTATTTAACCTTTGAGTTTAAAGTGCACTTCATATTCTGTGAGTACGGTACCTTTTGTTCATGCACGTGAAGGCCTTTTTTACGTTCTAGAGAAAATGTGCCTCGTTTCTCTTGCTTACTTGTAAGTAAAGTACGGTTGAAATACACGTCACGTTGTTTTACATCGTTTATTATGTATATATAAATACTAGTATATAAAAATGACTGATTTAAAGTAAATTTTATTATTGATCATTTGTCAAACTAGCACCATTTTTTCATTTCAAACTATATTCAATACATTTGAAGACGTAAAATATTATTAATAATTCAACTAATCAATATTTGACATTCAGGCAAATATTCGTTGCAATTAATAAAATTTTTACACGAAATCTCAATCAAAAAGAAAACTTCTGATAATGAATGATCATCTGAATTGTTGTTCTGCATATTTCTATGCAAGATTTACTAATGACGATACATTATTAGGTAAGCAGATAACATGTTTTTTTTTCTGTGAGAATTGGTCATAATAATTGCCTGAGAATTGGTCTTCGAGTTAGTTTGAACTTCATACTCAGAAAGATATTCTTTATTTTAGAAAAGACATATCTTTTAAAATGAAGTTTTTCTTCAAAGAACATTATAACAATAAATGAACACTGGAGTTCATTGCCATTTTCTTTTCAGTATGACTTGATCGTTACCGTTTTGTTCTATTGCGTGTCTAACGAATAAGAACTTATTCGTTATGATATAGATTCAGCTGAAGTTATGAAATGGTTCAATAAAGACTATTGTCGAGGGTAATGACAATATCATTCTTTTCGTTTATCCCAGAAATACCTCCCGGAAGAAGATCTTAATAACTATTTGCAAGATGAATTAAAAACTATAGTCCGTTCAAAAAGTCCGTGCGTGTGACTATTTTTTGAATAGCTCGAGAAAGCAAACAGCTAGAGACCTGCGGTTTTCACCAATCGAAAGAGGAGGAGTTAGGACGTCTTTTTCTCTGATAATGCGTCAGACGAAATTCTTTTAAAACTGATCATCTTTGAAAAATATAGAAAAGAATGCATGAAAGTGACATACAATACACATGAAGTTTCGATTATGACCTTTGATTTAGATAGAGCGACTTCAGATCTATAGTTCAAAACATAATACACTTTCTTACGTTTCATTACATTTTCATCGAAGTATCCAGCTGTTTTGACAAAAAATGGAAAAACGTAGCAAAATATCAGCAAAATTCCCTATTATTTGCGCATGTAAATATATGATTTCATTTGGTCAATATTAGAATGCAATTAGAGAGTCATTTGCGTTGCATCTTGAACTATAGATCTGAAGTCCCTCTATCTAAATCAAAGGTCATAATCGAAACTTCATGTGTATTGTATGTCACTTTCATGCATTCTTTTCTATATTTTTCAAAGATGATCAGTTTTAAAAGAATTTCGTCTGACACATTATCAGAGAAAAAGACGTCCTAACTCCTCCTCTTTCGATTGGTGAAAACCGCAGGTCTCTAGCTGTTTGCTTTGTCGAGTTATTCAAAAAATAGTCACACGCACGGACTTTTTGAACGGACTATAGCTAGTATTCTGATTTCCCATTAACTGATATTCCTAGGTAAAGAATAATATGAATCAAACCTCTGAATGGAATGAAGTTTTCGTTTCATAAGTGTTTTTCCTATGAAAGAATGTCGACTTTGACTAATGGAATATGGATCCTGGATACTTTTATAAGAACAATGAGTCATAGAACTTATTTTGCACTAAACATTAACCTCTTCCATAAATAGAGAATTTCTTTTCTTTTTCTTTGACGTATTCATTTATGTGAAAGGCTTTTTTTCTATAAAAGTTTAAACAAGTTAAAATAACACTCATCTTGTAAAGTGTTGTTTGTACTGTACGACCATTTAAAATTCTGAATGTTCTTCCTCTATGAATGTTGATTATTTGGATAAAATGTCATAGTCATAAGAAATATTTGCTATCTCCACTTCATATTAATCTTCAACATAATTTTTCATAAGCTTGTTTTAGAGAATAGCAAAAGATATATACCGCATTGTACCAGAGTATGTAAGGATCTTCAGTAGCCGTTATCCATATGAAAAAAATCAAGTAAATTCATCAGAAGCTAAGAATTCATGAATAGAATATACACTAGTGGTGAAGTTCAGTAAATTCAAATGGATATCTGTGAATTTCGATAAATTCACTATTATATTCGTTGAAATTCAACAAGATGAATAATATAAAAAAGTTAATATATGAAATTAACTAATATCAACGAGAATCGATAGAGAAGAAACTTAGACGATGATATAAGAAAATCATGGCTGTAAATTCAAGACTCGAAAAAAATCATATATAGCACGAACTGTCTCATGAGTAAAGTCCACCAGTTTGATTCGAGGTTCGACAGGCTCTAGTTGTTACCATGGAACGATTGTTTCATTCTCTCCTAGCCCATTTGAAAACTTAATTTAAATTATTATAATTTCCATTGTCAGCATAGAACAGAAGATTTTCATAAATTGGCTCATTTTCAATGAGTGCTTTGATTGTACAATAGAAAAATATATTTTTGGTCGTTTTGTAGGATAATCTTAAATGTAATTTAAAATAGTATGGAACTGTTATTCTTTTTATTTCATTAGATCTTGCAATGATGGATTATTTTGATGATGAGAAAAACGAGAATTATTTATTATCGAATGATGATCAATCATTAAGAAATCGTTTATTAGCATTTACTACAGATCATTCATTTTGGTTTCGTATGTTCCTTTTCATCATCGTTATTACTATTTATGTATTTATAATTATTTATTTATATAAATATTTATTTATTCAAAGAAAATTTCTTGATTCATACATTAATAAGCCGTCAGCTGAAACTAAAATTGGTATAATCAACAATTAAAACTACTTTTCAAGAATTGATTTTCTATTTCAATTGTATATATTTTTAATTGTACAGTAGAAAAGATTGCTCAGTTTTCTAATTATATATTGATAATCAATTTCAAAAAACCAAGCTCTAAGTTGTTTCCTGTCAAATAATATGAATAAGTATTCAATGAATTTTCTCTGCCATATCGATAAAATTAAATCTTTGATCCATGATACAATTTGATTCAATCATTTATTTTGAATAGTAATATGGCATTGCTTTGAACTAACTCTATCACTTATGTAAACTACTACTTGTTTGATTATATTAAACATGATTTGAAATTGTTGTGATAATAGATGTGGTAGAGTTTTTTTCTAAATAAAATACTGATGTATATATTTTTTGGTTCATCCATATTTGACTTTGATAAATTTGTTTGTACAAAGAGTACGGAAAAGTTTGATGGATAATATATCAAAGAGCAGCAGCAATTGTAAAATAAAATAATTTTTTTTTCGATGATATAAAATTGAATAATCTATACTAAATCCATTAAGGCCCCCCCCCCCCCCTCAAAAATCGATCTCTGCTCAGGAACGTTCAAATGGGCTGAAATTTGGAGCATATGTTGGGGCTGAAGTGAGGAGGCTGTGGTAAAATTTTCAGGTCGATATCCCGACGTTTGACAGAGATATGAACCAAAACAAGGGTCAAAAATAGCTCCTTTTCTGTCCAAGATTTCTCGGTCCGGGCTCTGTCAATATATTTAAATTTTTTTTGTTTGAAAGAGCATCTCAGGATGCAGGGCAATATAGAGTCCTTTTTTTTGAATTCTTACTTTTTTCGCGGAGAAAGGGGCTCACAAGTTCAATGACTCAAAAAACGCGCCAAAAATTGATGTCCAGTCACATAAGTGTCTGTCTATATAATAAAAAATAAAGCTTAATTAAAAAAAGGACTCTATATTGCCCTGCATCTCGACGCGCTCTTTCAAACAAAAAAAAAATTTAAATATATTGACAGAGCCCGGACCGAGAAATCTTGGACAGAAAATCAAAAAATCATAAATTGAGAAAAAATGAAAAAGATTTTTTGTTTTTTTTGAAAATAGCTTATTTTTCGAATAAGAGTCGACAGAAATCTTCAAAAGTTTTTGGAAAAAAAGAGGTGTTGAGTAAAAATTTTTGTTGTTTATGAAAGATCTAAAGACGGGCTAGCTTCCCATGCATTTATCTCAATTTTGACAATTCTCACGAAAATTGACTTTTTTGAGGGGGGGGGGGGGCCTTAAGATACGAAAACTTAATGTGTATTCTTTTTCTGAGTTCCAGTAAAATATTTATCAATTGAACTATGAATTAGTCTCTTTTTATTGAATTTAGACGGTAACATTCGACTGATTTTCATTCAGAACGAAGGATTTGATAAGCCCGCAACCGATAGAATACTTTAAAATTCATATTACGTTGAAAGAGAATATTCAGTTTGAAGATAATTCAAAACCATGTAGGCATATATACTTAGCCAGCCTGATATCACAAGTATTATTTCTTTATGTAATTTCAAGCCAGTTACCAGAAAAATATAATTTTTTTGGCAGTTATAGTACAGATATAATCTATAGAGGCGTAAGCCGAACATAAACCTACCATAATATATAATACTAATGGTCTGTTATTGTTTGACCTCTACGTTTATTTCTCTGATAGAGTATGATATGCACATCGAATGTTTGAATACTCATACATGTGTTTGACTATTAACTTCGAATCTGTTGTTGCTTGATAACTAGCTCTACTAAAATATTCGTTCAATTTTTGTAAAATATAGCAGACTATGAATCTCACGATAGCTTGGGACCCAGCTTTGCATTAAATATACATATGATGTATACTTTCAAAAACTTGGGGATATTCAGCAAAAATATACCAAGTAAGGTTTTAAAGAATTAGATGCAAAGTATCTTTAACAGAATGATTGTAATGAAACAGTTGACAACTCTCTTCTCTACTAAAAGATAGAGTTCAAACAATCATAATCATTATACAGCGGATTCAAAAATTGATTATTCGGATTTAATTTCGGTTTATGTTTTCACAATAGTGACTGGCATAAAGAATCCAAATATTGATTTGGATACAGAGATTTTTTCCAACAAAGATTTCAACAAATGAAACCTTGACTGTATTTCTAAAGCCTAGTTTTTCAATACTGAGAGCCTTACGATAAAAGTTTCACTTTCTATTAAACAGAGTAATGGAGCAATTAATTCTGTAGAACATGCTCCACGAGATTTTTTTTGACTCAATTACATCAATTTTAAGAAAAGCTTAAAAGCAGTTTTTTCGCTATTTCCTATGGGAAAACCAGACAAAAAGAACGTTTACACCTTTCTTAAAATTGATGTAGGTCAATCGAAAAATGTCGTAGAGAGCTCGGAAACATTTCACTTTCTAGAGAATTAGTTCTGCACGCTGAAGAATCAAGTTTCGGATGTTCTAAATCCTGAATTTTGGAAATACAGCGAGGATTTTATTTTTCTTAACCCTTGTTAGAAAGAATTTTTTATATCTAAATCACTATCAGACTTCTTTATGCTAGTTACTATAGCGGAAAAAATTGAAAGTGTAGGATTAAATTTTGAAATCAAAGTGTATGTATTATAACTAGTAAGAAAACAAACAAATATTTCTGATAGTTAGCTACAGCTGTCAAAACAAATAATAAATGGCTTTTCAGGCTGGTCGAGCACGCCTAGATTTATTGATTCATGAAAGTTTGTCTATTTATTATTATCATAAACATACTAATCTTTGTTTTTCGTCTATACGATGATTATTTTCCAAAACTTTTGAAAAGAAATTTTTTAAAAAATTTAAATGGAATATTTATTTAAAAAACACCCAATATCCATGATCGTTCGACTAAGAAAAGTTTTTTATGTTTCACTTGTCTTTTGTTTAACGCCACTATCACTTATATTTAAGTTTTTTTTCATCAATCCAGCTTCGGTATTTTTATCATGCAACCATTGCTCATGTGTTCGTTGTCTCTGTTTTATTCTAGCTGATCGATATTCTTCATGTTTTTGTTCTTTGACGTTCTCGAATTCCTTTCGAGCATTAGTTTCCTCTGTTTGCTTGACTTCCAACCATTTATTAAATGCAGCTGATACTTCATTAGATGATCGATGTTTTGGTTTTTTTGGTTGATTTATTGTCGATGTCTCTTTTAAATATATTGAAGATGTTGTGGAAAGATAAGTTTTAAGACTAATCATGACTGAATCTTCGAAATTTACAGAAACTGTTTCTATAACTACTTCACCTCGACCTAATCTTGTATCAATATCATTTTCTATTTTTTTTAAATCAGCTAATATTGAAATATCATTTTGTGTATTATTTCGTATAATGTTTTCTTTTTGTGGTATCAATCTTTTACGAATATTATTTAGTAATGAATGTTGTCTTGTTAATTGTCGCATAAATTCTCGTTCATGTTTTTCAATAAGTTGTTCAATTTGTTGTCTTTTTCTATTAAATATCTGTTCTATATTTGTATGTGCATCTATACGCCAACGATCGAGTTCAAAAAATGGATCTCGTTCATTTGGTCTCCAAACAGTTAAATGCTGAAGTCGTTTTGTAATTTCTTGTAGTTTACTTGTTAATGTTGCCATCAATTGTTGCGATTGTTCTTGCTTTTAAATGAAACAGCATGTATCGCGTAAGTATGAAAGAACAGTTAGAAAATAAAGCGTCCATTTAAACGAAGAACATTGCTTTTTTACTTTTCTTGCTTTGACAACGCTTACTTAAGACATTGATTCAATGAATGAAAAGAAAAGAAACCTTGTTCTTGGATGCTGTACAAATAACTCGAAGAACATAATTTTAAAAGATACAATTTGAAAGCATATGCTCAAAAGATTTCTTCTGGTTTTTACTCATTTTTCTTATTGAAAAAAAAATCTGTAAAACACAAAAACAAAATAAACTACATAGAAAAATATAGAATATTAAAAAACTTCTTTTTTTTTAATGAAAAATCAAACATCTGATGTTCTAGAATTTGTTCCTATAAATAAACGTGTATTAAATCGATGTTGTGAAGCTTTGAGTATTTGAAATTTACGATCACATCCAAGAAAAATAAAAATAAAAATTAATTGAATACCAGCAAGAATAAAAAAATAAATATAAAATAATTCAGATTTTTCAGAATCTTTACACTAAAAATATTCAAATATTATTATAAAAAAAGAGTTGTTTCTTTGTTCTGATTTTCAAATACCTCTAAATTTGTTACTGTAAAATTTTCATAAGCACTTTCATATATACTTATATATGCAGAACCCAAAAATGATGAAAGACCAACTGAACAAAAACGAAGGCTCATTACAAGTGATTGAGCTGATTGAGGCGCAGCCAAATAAGCAAATTCAAAACTAGCTACTGAAGCAAATACTTCAGATAGACCTATACTTATATACTGTGGAAATTGATAAAATATCGACATATCAGCAGCGTAATAAGTTGCATTACCTATGATATAAAATAAGATCACTGATAACATAAAAGCGAATGAATTTGTCATTATCGAGTAAATACCAATAGTTTGTTGAAAAGATGAATCGCATTTCTTTTGACGAAATATCTCGACTATACCAGTTATACACATAGAAAGTGTAGCTGAGATCATACCAATAATCATACGTATTTTGATTGAAAAGGGTCGATTGTTAATATGAAGACGTTTATGTACACATGTGTTTAAAATCAAAATAACAACTACAAAAATAAACAGTGGTTCTTGATCAATCGTCAAGATATTTAAGATCATTTTCTTTATGAAGATGATGCTTAAGATATTCAAAACAAAAACTACGAACTGCCTATATCTTCGGAATATATTCACTATATCAAATTACTGGATAATATAGTAGTACATACGAATGATTATTATTTGATCACCAAGAGAAAGCCAAACTACAGGCATATGATTAATGTGTGATTGTAATAGTGGTATTCTCATATGAACACCTTGTATAATAAATGTTGTATTACTCTAAATAAATAAGTATAAATTAAAATAGATAAATTCTAAAGATGGTCTAGTATTCAATTGAAATTAGCCAAGAAAAGATTTTTACCTGCACATATATAAGCCAATAGGGTATTAAAAGTAGAAACATTACAATAATACGTCGAAGTGATTTAATATCATCAACAATACGATCTGGAAATCGACCATTATTTGTTCCTTTAGCATAATCAAAAAATGATATTGGTTGTTCATTCATATTAAACAATATTTGATCCTTATTATTTTCATATTGATCATTTGAAAACATGGATTCATTGGAAGGTCTAAGTTCATTAGACATTTTACGAATATAGTATCGATGTTTATACCATGTTTGAAATGCATTAATTAAAACAGGAAAAAAATTAGTTATTACAGAATCATGTGGTTTTATATGAATATAACATCTATGTCCAATAATAAAAACTATCAAAGTTACAACCAGTAATATAGTTGATATTAAATAACTTATAAAATAGGATTTATTCTGTTGCACATAAGCAATTATACCAAATGCAAGAAGAGAGCCTATATTTACAGCAACATAATATTTATAAAAATATTGTGTTGTAAGTGTTTTTTCTCGAATTTGTTCAGCTCCAAATACAGCCATATTTGATTGAACTACTCCTACACCAATTGCACTAAATGAAAGCACAAAGAGTTAATCCAGGAGTGTTACAAGATCACCGAGATAAGGGAGGGGGCGAGCGATTTGTTTTTAGAATTGGTGGGTAAAAAAAGGAATAAAACGCTGGAACTTCGCTGTGGAAAATCGGAAGTTTCTCGAGATTAAGAGGATTCCTCAATCGGAACACCCTGAGTAAATCATAAATTCAACTAACGTGACAATAAGTACGACCGTAATTTGAGTGCTACATTTTTCTTTGAAATATGGTGTTGACTCATCCATATAAGTTGGTGGTCCATTACATAATGTTTCATATATTTCAGCTATTGAAAATAATTGAATGAATAAATAACCAATAATATATAAAATAAAACCTATATATAATATTTAGAAACATGGATTTGAATAAAGAAGAAGTCTCTATTTGGTTTTTTTTTACCAATTAGAATTGTTTTTGCACGACCTAATTTAGCATCACTTATCCAAGAAAAAACAAGTGTTGATATATAACTTGTACCTTTTTAAAGAAATAAAATATTTATAAGATTGAATATTATTAATCGACTTATGTTACCGTAAAAAATTAATGAAGCAATTATACTATGAAATGATGTCCAACGAATAGAATTCGATGAAAGGAAAAGAACAAGATTACCAACTAATGAGAAAAATGCTAATCTTTCAAAAGCAACAGCTATTAGAATGAACCAAACAGCAAATCGTTTTTGCATTGATGTTCGATTATCTGTTTTAGGTGAAATACCAGATATGTGAAAAACTAGTGGAGATGATTCACCTATACTTGCATCAGTCATCTTAATAGAAGATTATTTATGATCAATTCTTACAAATTATTAACCATAGTACATACGTTCTTCGTTTATTGTTCCTAAATTTAAAGATATAGAAATTCAATGACAATGATTATTATAGTAGCTATAGCTATGAAGACAGTTACAGATCTTACTGATAAGATAAAAGGAAAAAAAACAAGTACTTGAATTACTTCAAGAATAGATAAATGTTTGGACAATGATTCATAAAACATTTATGTGAGAATTTAATTGGATAGTTTTTATGAAGTTTCTTAGGAAAATTTAACATAATCAATGTTTGTAAAAGTATTGAACTGAAAATTGATTATTCTCTTTGATGGAAAAATAGAATTTATTCTCCTCTTTTAGCCAACATTGATATAATTTCTTCACAAAGTATTCATTGATTAAATATGACTCTAATGAACCTTATTCCCAATCGCTTGTTGGCCACCAACAAGCAAAAAGAAGGGGCCATATGATAATTTATTTGTTGCTAATGTCGGTCTCTTTTCTTTCATCTATATTTTCCTTTTCAATCATTTCGTTGAAAATTTTCAACGAAACGATTGAAAAAGAAAAAGATGGATGAAAGAAACGAGATCGACCTTAGCAATAAACAAGTTATCAGATGGTCCCTTCTTTTTGTTTGTTGGGGGCCAACAAGCGAATTGGAAATAAGGCTCATTCACACGTTTACAAGAGAACTATTCTAACTGTACGCCGCTGTTTGAACTCATATTAGACTTATACGGAGGTCTCAGTATGATTAGCAAATTTAGGAAATGGTTCGTTTCCATGGGTCTCTAGTAGAGAGCTATGATTGTTTTACTGAATTTTTGAGTTATTTTTAGGTATTTACTGAAAAACCAAAAATAACAGTCGTCCATAGATAGATTTATTGACCATTAGAATATCTTGGAAGTTTCAGCCGAAAAGAATGTTCATTTGTCAAAATATTGGATTCCCAACTAATGGTCGCTTGTAACAACAATTTTGTTTACTTGAAAATTCAATATCTTGACAAAGGAATATTCTTTTCGATTGAAATTCTCCACATATTTCAAGAATCATTATATCTATCTATCGGCAAAAATGTAGATCGCAAATTCAGTAAAACAGTCGTAACTCAGTTGTCTAGGTCTATGGGCATCAAGCTTTTTAAACTTAGGTATTAGTGAAGAATCATAAATATGAAAAGATTATTAATATAGTTATTAATTTACTATTGATTCAAACTATTGAGAGACGTAAAACAACAAAAGTACTAAGAATAGCATTTATTTTGACCTTGACTCTTTTGTAATTACAACATATTATTCTCTTTTTCTTTTGATTCTGTTCTGTATATATGATTTTCCATATGATTGCTTTTTACTCATTAATCATTAGAAAAAAAGTATTGATAATATAAACATAACACATAATAATGATAGTCAATCGGCATCAAAAAATCGGATTTTTTGCGTTCGATTTATTTGTCATCAATCATGATCTGATCGTTATGGACAAGCGTATTTAATAAAATTTCTTGAACAAAATAGGTCTCATTCTTTTAACAATATGTTCAGTGTTGTAAATCTATTTAGCTGTTGATGATCATCATCTATATTCAAAGACTTGAGATGAATTTAATCGATATACTTTAGCAACTGAGAAAAATATTCAAGATTTAAATCCTTCATCATCTAAACAAAAAATTTCCTCCTCATGTAATTAGTCAGATCCGAATTTTTCTTTGCTAATTAAGAAAATAAAATTTCTCAAGTTGTCTTTCTTTATTAGTTTGATCTTTGGCATATATCTCATGTAATTACCCTTGACAATAGTTATCTTTATAATCTATGATGAAAAATGACGGAAGGCTCATCCTCATTTTTCTTGCACCTCATTATCGTCATGTGAATATCGTTGTCATTAGATGAATTTTGGTCTATTTTCTTTTTCATTGTAAACAAAAATCAAAAATTCCCATTAGACTTTCTTATAAATGACTAACGATAGAATCATTGTTACAATCACAAAAAACAAAACTAGTAGCAAACAATTACTGTCATTTAGTATTCGTATGCGATTGAAATGATGATAAATGGAATGGTGTTTCTATTCAATATGTTTTGTTATTTGATAGATTTTATGCAAGACCAATCTATAATTTTTTTTAGTATTTAATTCTATTGTTGTTAAAGCAGACGAAAACTTATTTGATTATTCTTTGATTCAAAATTGATGGTCTTTCTTTTTTTATGCGATTTTGTGTTACTATGTTGATAAATACTATTACCATTTTGGAATCCTTGACTATGAGATGAAAGATTACACTTTGCGTCGATATTTTCAACAGCCGTTGTTTTATCTGCATAGACGTACGAGAGAACCTTTCTTAGGCTCTTTATCGACTATGATGCAGCATTATCAACAAATGCGATCCCAGTAAGGACATCCGACTTCGAGAAAGGTTTAGCTATGTAACTCTTGTTTGCGACGTATATCAAGATATGCATAGAAAAAGAATATTGAAAGATTTTTTTTTTCTATAGTTTATCCTTTATTAGAAGCATCAATATCCAAATGTGTGTTCTACTAATTTTAGCAGACAATTTATAAGCTTCTTGTATTGATTAGAAATGTTGTATAATTTTTAATAATCTCATTGCTTTCGATATCTAACAAGAACTCCACATTATATAGAATATAAACTATCTCAGGACGTTTTCTTATTAAAAAGCATTAATCGAGTTTTGATTTTTTTATTATATATAGCAAAAGATTCATTATGCGTCACCCGTTACAAACAAAAAACAAAGTCAAATAATATTAGATATATATATATTTATAGTTTTGATGTATGAATGTCGATAAAGATAACGGGTGACGCAGGAAAAAAAAATATATGTATAAAAAAAGAAAACACACTCACACAAATAACATCAACAACAAACAGAACACATACGTATAAAGACACAAGGAAAAAAGAAGAAGAAAGGTTCAAATTTTAAATCATTGGGCTTGATGGAGAAAGTAAATCAAATGAAAGTACATTTTGTTGTTGACATGTTGATAATGATGTATCAAATAGATGATGATGATCATTACCAAATTGATTAAGAAATTGTGTTAAATCAGAATTATTATCATCATATAGATCATTAACTATTGTTGGAGATGTTATCATTGGTAACCAATCCATATGTGTATTAGGAGATGATGATACATATGAATTAGTAGGATTTGTTAGAGAATCATCTGCATGTAATGGTAATGTTGAACTAGAATCTTAAAAAAAAAAATAAAATTTGCTTAATGACATTTTTATGTTAAATATATTTTACCAGGAAAATCATCCAATAGACTTAAAATTGCATCGTCATCGACTAATTTTGTTTCAGTATTTGTCTGAGAAAAAAAAACAAAAAATTATTCATTTTTTTGTTTTTTTTTTAATATTATTATTTTACCGCATGACATGTATCATAATAATTACTATCCATAAATGTTGGAAAAATTGGAGCTGACATTGAATGATGTATTGACCATGGATGATTATCTGACGTTTGTGGTTGAGTTTGATTTGCAAGAAATTGTGCTACAGATTCAGGTGTTAAAGGAACAATAGAATGTTGTTGCTGTTGTTGTTGTTGTTGTTGTTCATCATGAATTTTTTGTTTTAATTTTTCTTGTTGATGAATAAGTACACCTAAAAATTTGAACAATTTAACTAATTGATCGAAAAGAAATTTTTAGTATTTTTGTTTACGTTTTTGTAGTTCCACAGATACAATTGGATTACATTTTTGTGGAATCTGGAAATTAAATTTTCATAGTAATTTTTTTTTGAAAAACACTTTACAAAAGAAAATTGTTTACCGTTATTGAATTGTCAACATGTTGAATAAGATGTGATGCTTGAAGTGAAAAAGAATCAAGTTGTTTTAATTTTTGTAATTGATTTTCTAATTCAATAATTTTTTGTTGTTGCTGTTGATAAAGTTCTTGATCACTTAATGAAGATGTTGGTACTATTAAAAAAAATCAATTCGACACATTTTTTGTTTTCTTATGAGATGAATTTTTTGCAAAACAAAAAAAAAAGAACAATCTTGTTTTCAGTTAATTATTTTTGTTTAGTGGCAGATATTCAAGAACAAAGTCTCTTAAGGATGTAAGCAGAACTCTCATGAGAAGATTACCTGTTTTCTTCGTGGTCGTACGTGATGGAAGAAATTAAAAAATATAGACTCCTGCTGGAATGTAAAAAAAAAAGACTTATTTCGACCAGCTTTTCATTCTCGAAAGTGTTTATAACACTTATCTGATTAGAAAAGCATGTTATTCTTCAGATAAATTGGAAAAAGGAGTCTATAAAGAACTTTGTAAAAGAAACATATTTCATATTGTTTTTGATTAATGTTGAAACTTGTTTTATCCCAAGACATAAGAAAAAAGAAACATATTGTTTTCTTCTCTAAAAATTTCATTACAGGATTTCTTTAACATTCTTAAAGTAAATGATAAATTTGCTTGGTTTTCTCATCTAAAAATTCCAAACTATTGAATTTAAATTTAAACATTATTTACTTAAGAATGTAACGGATGATGTTGATGGATTTGTCATTTGCGTTGAAGATGATTCAGTAGTTATTGTTTGTGATGGAATAATTGTTGTATCTAAAGTGATGAAATATATTTATTGTATTTGTTTTTATTTGTCTTACCTGACATGTTGACTTTAGCATTTCTTAATTTTTCAATTAATTTCATTTTAGTACCTGTCGTACTTAAATTTAATTTTCTACATTCATTTTTTAAATCAACTAATTTCATTTTTTCAAATGTTTGAATATCATCAGATATTGTTGTTAATAAATTAACATTATCATCAATAGGTTGTTGAAGTAGATTACCTATTGGATTATCATCATTATTATTATCATGATTACTATTATTGTTATTATTATTATTATCATCAATTTTATCATCATTTTCAGTTGTTTTATTAT